CTGGCCATACACCTAGAGATTATCTGCAGACTTTCTATGGTCAGATGGGAAAAGTGACACAGATTCCTCCATCTATGCTAAACTGTGTGGATGGAGGAACCTCCCACTGGGCCAAGCTTCAGTATCTTGCTAGTCGGCACCGCTGGCTCTCAAAGCACCTGAGCAATGCCTGCATCCAATCAGATTGTTCAGGTATTTTGAGAGCCAGCGGGGCCGACTAGCAAGATACTGAAGCTTGGCCCAGTGGGAGGTTCCTCCATCCACACAGTTTAGCGTAGATGGAGGAATCTGTGGCACTTTTCCCATCTGACCATAGAAATTCTGCAGATAATCTATAGGTGTATGGCCGGCTTTGGAGCCTCTGCAAAGAATCACGCCAACTCCCGAGCACATGCATTGGAGTTACATCATCCTGCTCTGGCCAATCAAGTGGCTGAAGACTCAGCCTGTTGATTGACCAGAACCTGGAAGAAGACCGTGAGAAGATGGAAGTGCCACACACCCTTTCATCGCAGTGCTGAAGGGGATTGCTTTGGTGGTCCTAAGTAGGTAGTACGTAGAAAAGGTAGTACGTAGAAAAGGTAGCAAGTCGGAAGGTAGCAAGTCGGAAGGTAGCAAGTCGGAAGGTAGCAAGTCGGAAGGTAGCAAGTCGGAAGGTAGCAAGTCATAAACAGGTAAGTAGTAGTACTACATTGTGGCTTATTGCTTCTGGGCGTTTTATTTCCGCTCTAAGGTGAAGTGTGATATAAAAAAATAAATGAAAGAAAATGGCAAGAATGGAGTGAGTAGGAATCGCTTACAAAGCTCTCGCGGATGTATTCTTCCAATCCGTTGGTAAGATTCCGTGATGCCATCTGAGAAAAGAAGAAGAAGTAGTAGTTACATCGCCACATTCTATTAATATATGTCAACATTGGAAAACTGATGAAAGTTGGCTCTGATTGACTTTGAATGCGTCAGTAACATGTCGGGATTTATACGGCTTCATAGAAATACTTCTAATAACGGAAGCCAATACTACCCAAGTCTCCTTCATGCAGAATTCTGTACAATATCCAGAGGAGGGCCGCCACATTCTTGTCAATCTGTACAACATCTCTGCTTACTACTACTACTCTCAGCAGACTGAAGAGGTGGGGGGTTGGGGTGTGAATATCTTTGTATTTTTCTGAATGACTATGGCTCGGCCTAATTACAAAGAGGTCATATCCTGGATATTCATTATTATCCCAGCCAAAAGATGGGTGGGCAGAGCAGGGAATTCCTGAAGACAGAAATATGGACTGCCATTGCTCGCCTGCTTTTGAAAGGTGCAAGCTCTGTGCCAACCATCAATATCAATAGCCCCCTAGCCATTAGAACTGAAAATCAAGTCAGTTTCCAAATATCTATCCTCACACGTTCCCTTCTGGCCATTCCAGAACAACCTGCAGCCCTAGAGACTGGCGCGTCACGCTTAGACATAAGATTCCGCAAACAGCAGGGTGGCCCGTGCATGGTCTGGGGGTGAGCTGGGACACGCGGCAATGGGCCTACCTGAATATTCTGTGGTGTGGGGTCAGCTTGTCGCAGATATTGCTGCAGGAAGAAAGATCGCAGCTGAGGTTGCAGGTTCTGCAGTGGCTGGGACTGGCCATGTAACAACATCACGACATCCACCAGTGAGAAGTGATGACAGATGAGGGACAGGAGATCACCAAAGAAGCCTGCTAAGAAGAAAGGAACAGTAAGTTTGCAGATCAACTCCATTCAACATTCAGATTCAGAAGGCTTTCCACAGTGCTTTTGGGTGGAACTGCAACCACGTGTGAAGCAATTCTTGCTGTACAGACTCCCTCTCATACATGTAGGCTGCAGAGGGCTGAGAGAAAAGGTGGTGATGGAACCAGGGAGCATAATATCCACCAACACCGGCTATTTAAAAGCCTGAGATATCGGCAACTAGAAGAGTTTAGGTATCGGGATGGCCATGAGCAATAAATGAATGCCAAAATAAAAAAATTGAGCGTCAAGCAATGTAGAATTTAAACCTAAAATATTTATTATATGTTCTGGCTGGAAGAAAAAAAAATGAATATCCATAAATCCTAAAATATCTTCCCTGGAGAATATCCTGCTCCAGGCTCCTGCTAGTGCTGCTCGCATAACCAAAACCCTAGGAAACTGCTTATGTTAGATTTGCTGGAGAAGTTTGATGAGGATGATCCTCCCATTCAGCAGAGATGAAATGCTGAGGCGTATGGCTGCAGCAACAACACAGGAAGGAGCCTGATGCAACGGTCGTTCCTGGATAGTTAAAGTGACATTAAACCCTCAGATTTTGTAACATAAAACAATACTGTAATGTGTGCCTTACTGTAATCCATGGATGTTCCCCTTCTCTTTGCTGCTCTTCCTTTTAAATCTGTATCTGTTCTCATGCTGGGCAGAGCTTCTGTTTTGCAGCAGACTGCCTTGTCTCTGGAATGGCTACATGGTGTCTGTGTGTAGGTTCACAACCTGAGCCAGCACTACAGGAAGAGGCACTGAGCTGCAAAGGGAAGTTCTCCCCAGCATTAGAAGACATGAGGATTTAAAAGGAAGAGCAGCAAAGAGAAGGGAAACAACCATGGATTACAGTAAGACGCACATTACAGTATTGGTTTATGTTAAACATTCTGAGGGTTTAATGTCACTTAAATTATTTAAATCACGTCTGTGTATAATCCCACTCCATTATAAAACATACGGGCTTCTTTTAACAACCTTCCTAATCTGCTCGCGTGTTCTGGACTGGTAAGTAAAAGGAAAAAGTTCAGCCCAGCAACATGTCAGTAAACAAAGGCAGCATTTGTATTTTTGTGACCAGTTCACTTGAATGATTGTCCTGCAAAACCAAGGGAGACCTGTAGGTGGCAGTGTAGGGAAAACAGGACATAAAATCTTGTTAAGAGAACTATGGCGTAACCTTTTTATCCCATATACATATACTAACCTCCTCCCGTGACCCAAAGCTCAGTATATAGCGAGCTATTGCCCGCTATATACTGAGCCCCGCAGCTGGGACGGATCCCAACAATACTGTCAAGATCCACCCAGCTGGCTGATTGACAGCAGGCTCTGCCTATCTAGAGGCAGAGCCAGCTGTGCCCGCCCCCTCCCCTCTCCGTTCCTCCAGTCAGTGCAGGAGGACCGGAGAGGGGAAGGGGGAATTCCAGCGAGGAGCGGTGAGTGACAGTCACTACTCTCTGCAGGGACAGAGCGAGCGATGGTATGTGTTTGCTCACTTGCCGATCGATAGACCCGACGTGTGATAGTTTCATTGTCACAGGTCCGCTCTAACTATGAGGATGAGTGATTTTCACTCCTCATTAGTTCTCCTTTAATGTAAGTGATACAAATAAGGTGCAGTAAGGAGGTCAGTTAGGATACCGACCTGTAGGCCCCTCTGTGTCTGGCTGGAAGATGTTGGGGGAACCACTGAGGCGCTGGATGAAAGCTGCAATGCTCTCTGTCCCGCTCTGATCCGCTGCACTGAGTGAGCCCAGCATAGAGGACAGAACACCCTGGACCACACTGGTGAAGAACTCCGGTGGGAGGGAATCTGGTCCAGCCGCTTGTGGTTGTGCCGAGGCAATCAAGTGGCTGAAGACTCAGCCTGTTGATTGACCAGAACCTGGAAGAAGACCGTGAGAAGATGGAAGTGCCACACACCCTTTCATCGCAGTGCTGAAGGGGATTGCTTTGGTGGTCCTAAGTAGGTAGTACGTAGAAAAGGTAGTACGTAGAAAAGGTAGCAAGTCGGAAGGTAGCAAGTCGGAAGGTAGCAAGTCGGAAGGTAGCAAGTCATAAACAGGTAAGTAGTAGTACTACATTGTGGCTTATTGCTTCTGGGCGTTTTATTTCCGCTCTAAGGTGAAGTGTGATATAAAAAAATAAATGAAAGAAAATGGCAAGAATGGAGTGAGTAGGAATCGCTTACAAAGCTCTCGCGGATGTATTCTTCCAATCCGTTGGTAAGATTCCGTGATGCCATCTGAGAAAAGAAGAAGAAGTAGTAGTTACATCGCCACATTCTATTAATATATGTCAACATTGGAAAACTGATGAAAGTTGGCTCTGATTGACTTTGAATGCGTCAGTAACATGTCGGGATTTATACGGCTTCATAGAAATACTTCTAATAACGGAAGCCAATACTACCCAAGTCTCCTTCATGCAGAATTCTGTACAATATCCAGAGGAGGGCCGCCACATTCTTGTCAATCTGTACAACATCTCTGCTTACTACTACTACTCTCAGCAGACTGAAGAGGTGGGGGGTTGGGGTGTGAATATCTTTGTATTTTTCTGAATGACTATGGCTCGGCCTAATTACAAAGAGGTCATATCCTGGATATTCATTATTATCCCAGCCAAAAGATGGGTGGGCAGAGCAGGGAATTCCTGAAGACAGAAATATGGACTGCCATTGCTCGCCTGCTTTTGAAAGGTGCAAGCTCTGTGCCAACCATCAATATCAATAGCCCCCTAGCCATTAGAACTGAAAATCAAGTCAGTTTCCAAATATCTATCCTCACACGTTCCCTTCTGGCCATTCCAGAACAACCTGCAGCCCTAGAGACTGGCGCGTCACGCTTAGACATAAGATTCCGCAAACAGCAGGGTGGCCCGTGCATGGTCTGGGGGTGAGCTGGGACACGCGGCAATGGGCCTACCTGAATATTCTGTGGTGTGGGGTCAGCTTGTCGCAGATATTGCTGCAGGAAGAAAGATCGCAGCTGAGGTTGCAGGTTCTGCAGTGGCTGGGACTGGCCATGTAACAACATCACGACATCCACCAGTGAGAAGTGATGACAGATGAGGGACAGGAGATCACCAAAGAAGCCTGCTAAGAAGAAAGGAACAGTAAGTTTGCAGATCAACTCCATTCAACATTCAGATTCAGAAGGCTTTCCACAGTGCTTTTGGGTGGAACTGCAACCACGTGTGAAGCAATTCTTGCTGTACAGACTCCCTCTCATACATGTAGGCTGCAGAGGGCTGAGAGAAAAGGTGGTGATGGAACCAGGGAGCATAATATCCACCAACACCGGCTATTTAAAAGCCTGAGATATCGGCAACTAGAAGAGTTTAGGTATCGGGATGGCCATGAGCAATAAATGAATGCCAAAATAAAAAAATTGAGCGTCAAGCAATGTAGAATTTAAACCTAAAATATTTATTATATGTTCTGGCTGGAAGAAAAAAAAATGAATATCCATAAATCCTAAAATATCTTCCCTGGAGAATATCCTGCTCCAGGCTCCTGCTAGTGCTGCTCGCATAACCAAAACCCTAGGAAACTGCTTATGTTAGATTTGCTGGAGAAGTTTGATGAGGATGATCCTCCCATTCAGCAGAGATGAAATGCTGAGGCGTATGGCTGCAGCAACAACACAGGAAGGAGCCTGATGCAACGGTCGTTCCTGGATAGTTAAAGTGACATTAAACCCTCAGATTTTGTAACATAAAACAATACTGTAATGTGTGCCTTACTGTAATCCATGGATGTTCCCCTTCTCTTTGCTGCTCTTCCTTTTAAATCTGTATCTGTTCTCATGCTGGGCAGAGCTTCTGTTTTGCAGCAGACTGCCTTGTCTCTGGAATGGCTACATGGTGTCTGTGTGTAGGTTCACAACCTGAGCCAGCACTACAGGAAGAGGCACTGAGCTGCAAAGGGAAGTTCTCCCCAGCATTAGAAGACATGAGGATTTAAAAGGAAGAGCAGCAAAGAGAAGGGAAACAACCATGGATTACAGTAAGACGCACATTACAGTATTGGTTTATGTTAAACATTCTGAGGGTTTAATGTCACTTAAATTATTTAAATCACGTCTGTGTATAATCCCACTCCATTATAAAACATACGGGCTTCTTTTAACAACCTTCCTAATCTGCTCGCGTGTTCTGGACTGGTAAGTAAAAGGAAAAAGTTCAGCCCAGCAACATGTCAGTAAACAAAGGCAGCATTTGTATTTTTGTGACCAGTTCACTTGAATGATTGTCCTGCAAAACCAAGGGAGACCTGTAGGTGGCAGTGTAGGGAAAACAGGACATAAAATCTTGTTAAGAGAACTATGGCGTAACCTTTTTATCCCATATACATATACTAACCTCCTCCCGTGACCCAAAGCTCAGTATATAGCGAGCTATTGCCCGCTATATACTGAGCCCCGCAGCTGGGACGGATCCCAACAATACTGTCAAGATCCACCCAGCTGGCTGATTGACAGCAGGCTCTGCCTATCTAGAGGCAGAGCCAGCTGTGCCCGCCCCCTCCCCTCTCCGTTCCTCCAGTCAGTGCAGGAGGACCGGAGAGGGGAAGGGGGAATTCCAGCGAGGAGCGGTGAGTGACAGTCACTACTCTCTGCAGGGACAGAGCGAGCGATGGTATGTGTTTGCTCACTTGCCGATCGATAGACCCGACGTGTGATAGTTTCATTGTCACAGGTCCGCTCTAACTATGAGGATGAGTGATTTTCACTCCTCATTAGTTCTCCTTTAATGTAAGTGATACAAATAAGGTGCAGTAAGGAGGTCAGTTAGGATACTGACCTGCAGGCCCCTCTGTGTCTGGCTGGAAGATGTTGGGGGAACCACTGAGGCGCTGGATGAAAGCTGCAATGCTCTCTGTCCCGCTCTGATCCGCTGCACTGAGTGAGCCCAGCATAGAGGACAGAACACCCTGGACCACACTGGTGAAGAACTCCGGTGGGAGGGAATCTGGTCCAGCCGCTTGTGGTTGTGCCGAGGCAGCGGGTGGAGGAGGTGGAGGTGCAGACGCAGGGGGCTGTGGAAACGACTGAGGTGGTGTGACGGACACGTTGACATTTTGTGTAGCCTGTAGAGGAGAAAAATGGAAAAACAGAGACATCAGAGACTAAATATAAAACGTCATACGGAAATAAATGTGTCATTCAGCAAATAAAAGGGGTCATTTACAAAGACCGGGCCAAGGGGAGAATAGCTCTTTGTGGATGACTTCTCTAGTGGTCAATATCAGTACCTGTCCAATTGCATCACAAACACAAAGGTTTGGGGGGGCACAAACAAAGGTGTAAGCGCACCCTGGAAGACCGACATCCTCAGGGATCAGGCAAGGTGCAGAGTTTTATCCAATATTCTATTTTCTCTGATAAAGCAGAAATAATGGATACAGCTCAGCATGGTTTATAGGTAATAATGGGGAGGTGGCCCCCCAACATGCACTGAATAGTGGATGTGCAGTCTGGAATAAAGGGCCATCAGGGGGCCAGATTGTTCCTTTCCAAATGATCAGATTCTTCCTAGAAGTTGGACTCCAAGCAAACAGCTAAATATATATGGGAGCAGTTTTACCTGCCAAAGGATTTGTATTTCTGACCATCCAGTCCGAAGCTTTAGACAGCCACGTAACACATTACAGCCCTGCCTGGCAGAACAGGAGACCCGATTGTTCTCTGCTGCAATTAAGAAACACTTACAGCTCTGCGAGTGGACTGTGAAGAGAAGCAGCACACCAATGAGCTCACCTCTGTCACTCTACTCACTCTTAGCATGTTCCTTGTTAGCACATGAACACTGCAGCACAACCGATTGGCTTCTTGTGCTGCTTCTCCCAGCGTGAGCTCTGCTGCATCAGGGATTCCAATAGGCTAACACCAAGCCAAATTAGGGTTTTTACACTGCGTGCATTTAACAAAATGACATTCATTAATTAAAAGAGAACTATGGTGTAAGGGTTTTCCCCATACTTCTCTTTAGGGTCATGGGAGGACATATACTAACCTCTTCCTGTGACCCAAAGCTCAGTATATAGCGGGTGAGCGCCGCAGCTGGGACTGATCCTGACATTACCGTCGAGATCCACCCAGCTGCGCGACAGCGGGCTCTGCCTATCTAGAGGCAGAGCCCGCTGTGCCCGCCCCACTCAGTGCTGGAGGATCGGAGAGGGGTGGGGGGAATCCCTGCAGGGAGTGGTGACTGACAGTGACCGCTCACTGCAGGGAGACGATCATTTTTCCTGGGAGCCTTTATACCAGTCAACCTGGTGTCAGTGACCTGGCGAGTCTTCGGGGGACAGGTAACTGTAATCTGTTCCCTAGCCAGACTTGGGTTTTACTCTCTGCTTTAGCAAAAAGAGATAAAAGATGACAGAATTCCAATAACCTTACTGCTATTGATGTCAGTCTCTCCTGGTACGAAGGCTCGTGCTAAACAGGCACATAAGACTCTTCTAGCAATTATGGCTTATGTATGGTGACCATACCCACATAAGGACAACTGTGCAAAGACATGTGGAAAAGCAATTACCTGCAATAGTTCATTGACGCCTTGCATGAACGCCGGCATTCCAGGAACGGCCACGGCAATGCTTGGCGATCCCATTGCAATGTTGGCCACGCCGGAGCTTGCAGTGCCCAGAAATGAGCCCAGGAGCTGGGAGAGCTGCTGCTCCAGACCAGGAGGAGGCTGTGAGGATGGAGCAGAGGGAGCAGAGGGGGCTGAGGGAGGAGAGGGAGTGCTTGGTAAGGTGGAGGCCGACGACGTGGTGGTGGTGGTCGATGCCGTGCTGGAAGAAGTGGAAGTAGATGAAGAGGAAGAGGTGCTGGTTGTGCCGCCACTCTGAGCTAAAAAAGTGGAAGAGAGGACAAGACTGTTATGAGGCCCAAAACTCTGACACAGGACACAACACGACGGTCTGACACAGGACACAACACAATGATCAAAAGAGGAGATAGAGAACATAACATGGCCCCTAATATATGTAAACCCCAACAAGGAACGGTTGTTTCCTTTTGGTCCAATATACCATGGAATGTGATTTTTTTAATGAGTGCCAAGGATATTTCTTGATCCTGTCAGAAATCCCATGCATTCTTCACTCTTGCATCAACAGCCCTGGCCTGTGTTCCTT